AATGGGTTAATAGTTGGGTTCATTTTTATTCCATTTTAGGGATTCCCTTTCATTCTTGCTGATTTCGGGTTTTGGTTTTGAGCGTTTTGTTATTGTTGCTGTTGTTTTGAATGTTTGAAACAATGTGGCCAGGCGCAGTGGCTCACGCCTGTAATCCTAGCACTTTGGGAGGCCAAGGCAGACGGATTGCTTGAGCCCAGGAGTTTGAGACCAGCCTGGGCAACATGGCGAAACCTCTTTCTACAGGAATACAAAAATTAGCTGGGCGTGGTAGTGCACACCTGTAGTCCCAGCTACCTGGGAGGCTGAGGTGGGCGGATCACCTGAGCCCAGGGAGGTTGAGGCTGCAGTGAGCCATGATCACACCACTGCACTCTAGCCTGGCAACAGAGTGAGACCCTGTCTAAAAAAAGAAAAAGAAAAATTAGCTCCAAAAGTCAGAACTGTGCAATACAGTAACTCTCCCTTTTGCCCTGTTCTCTTCCCCTGCCCCCTTGTAGGTAAGCAGTCTTGTTCGTTTCTGGTTCCTCCTTCCTGGGTTTCATTTCGCACAAACAAGCAGCCACAAGTATGCCCAATCTTCCCTTCTTTCTTACAGAAGAGGTAGTACCCTAGACTACTCTGCTTTACTTTGCATTTCTTAACAGTTTATTAGGAAAATGATTCCACATTGGTTTGTAGGATCTTCCTCATTTTTAAAACTGCTGTGTCAGGGCTGGGCATGGTGACTCATGCTTGTAATCCCAGCACTTTGGGAGGCTGAGGTGGCCAAATCATGAGGTCAGGAGTTCAAGAGCAGCCGGGCCAACATGGTGAAACCTGTTCTCTACTAAAAATACAAAAATTAGCTGGGCGTGGTGGTGCGCACCTGTAATCCCAGCACTTCGGGAGGCCAAAGCAGGCAGATCACTTGAGGCCAACATGGTGAAACCCTGTCTCTACTAAAAGTACAAAAATTAGCCAGCTGTGGTGGTATATGGCTGTAATCCCAGCTATTTGGGAGGCTGAGGCACAAGAATAGCTTGAACCCGGGACGTGGAGGTTGCAGTGAGCCGAGATCACGTCACTGTACTCCAGCGTGGGCTACAGAGTGAGACTCCCATCTCAAAAAAATTAATAATAATAATTAATTAAAACTTTTTTTAAAGCTTCTGTATCAGATCCCATTGTGTGGACATAGCATGGTTTGTTCAACCAACCTTCTATACATGGGCATTTAGGTTTCGTTTTGCAATTACAAACACTACTGCAAGGGCTGGCCTTGCATAAACCTATTTTTGTGTTGTGAGAGGAGTGCCTGCAGGGTGAATTTAGGGGTAATTGCACATATGGTTTTGTTAGGCAGCACCACATTTCCCTCTGTTGGGTCTGTACCAGATGTGTTTCCACCAGCAGCTTTTCAGAACCTCTTTTCCCACAGCCTTACTAACTGAATGTGCCATAACACTTTTGAGTTTTTGCTAGTCCAGTAGAGGAGAATGTATTGCGGTGGACTTTTAATTTACATCTCTCCTTTCTGAGTGAGTGGAACATTTTTCAGATGCTTAAGGGCCATTTATTTATTTATTTATTTATTTATCGGAGTCTTACTCTGTCACCCAGGCTGGAGTGCAGTGGCACGATCTCGGCTCACTGCAACCTCCGCCTCCCAGGTTCAAGCAATTCTCCTGGCTCAGCCTCCCAGGTAGCTGGGATTACAGGCGTGAGCCACTGCGCCCGGCCCTTCCCCATCTTGTTGAGACAAGGCTTGTAAGGATGTGATGCAAGGTGTGAACGTTCCCCAGAAAGAAGTGCATGTGCACAACACAGCCTGGCTGCAGCATCTGCTTCAAACAAAACAGTCGGTCGAGCTCCACTTTCTTTGACTTAATCATTCTTCATGCTCCACCCATTTCCGGAAAGATGTGAGGCATCTCTCTGATGCTGAGCGCAAGTCTGCGTACCTCTTTGCCTTCTTGTATGTTGTGCCATGTTGTGTCTAATTTGTGGCAGTTGTTTTCTGTTTTCCTGCCACAGATCCAGACAGTCCTGACCTGGGATGGGGAAGCAGGACTCTCTGGCATGGTCTTTATGCCACCCCAGGGAAATCTGGGATAGTTGAAATCTGAGCAGTAATGTCCCTTCGCCATGTGTCAGGCAGAAGCCGCCCACTAAATAACCTCTGTGTCAGCATGTATGGGCGTAGAGGGGGCAGTGCAGACAGACTGCAGCTTTGTGCGTACTTGGACACGTTCCTTGACCTCTTGGAGGTTCCATTTTATTGCCCAGCATAGAAGCAGCACAGCAAAGTGATGGAGAGAACAGTACCTAGAGCCAGACCATCTGGGATGAAATTCAGGTTCCAGCATGTCAGAGCCATGTAATGCCTGGGACCGTCTGTGCCTCAGTTTCTCGAACCTCATAAGTGACTTAAAAGGTGAGAATTCTCAGAACAGTGCCTGGCACATAGTGGATACTCAGGAATTGTTAGCTTTTATCATCACCAACCACATAATCCATATTTGTGGGATATTGTGAGGTTTAGCTCAAATCATACCAAGTACTCATCATACGTGCTCCACACATTTTACTCCATTAAAATGTTCACTAACAGATTTTTAGGCCGGGCGCGGTGGCTCACACCTGTAATCCTAGCACTTTGGGAGGCTGAGTCAAGCAGATCACCTGAGGTCAGGAGTTTGAGACCAGCCTGGCCAACTTAGTGAAACCCCGTCTCTACTAGATACAAAAATTATCTGGGCATGGTGGCGCATGGAGGCTGAGGCAGGAGACTCGCTTAAACCTGGGAGGTGGAGATTACAGTGAGCCCAGATCGTGCCGCTGCACTCTAGCCTGAGTGACAGAGAGACTCTGTCTCCAAAAAAAGAAACGGATTTTTAGAAAATCTTTCACTTTCCAGGAAGAAAGTTTATATTCTCTATGGCTTTGTGTGGAGGAAACAGCATTAATCTCACTACAGGAGACTGCTTCACTCTCAGTGATTTCAATCTAGGAATATCTTGGGTTCCCAGTATCATTCTGGCCTGAGCTCAGCACATCCCAGGCTGCCCAGATCTTGCCATGCTCTCCTCTGAGCCAAGCTGATCTTAGCTTCTCAGAAGTTTCTGAATTGTCCCCCATGTGGTCTCCCAGACTCTTTAGTTGAAAAAAGGAGCCCTGCCTGACTGCCCAGAGGTCAGTGCCTGCCCACGGGAAGGGGTTTGCTGTTGAAAGCAGTTACTGTTCACTCAAGTCCGTGGCCACCTGACCCTTTATGGTGCATGCAATTTTACCATGTACTTATGGCCAAGCCCTACATAGTCAACAGACCTCATTAAGTTGTCAAAAAGCATTCTCAGGCTGAGGACATTATGCGACCTGGCTTCAGTTGGCAGAGGTGCGTGGACACTGCCAAGGCTCCTATTTCTGGTTCCAGTGGATGAGGAGGAGGACAATTATTCATAATAATGGCAAACAGCAGGGTGCGGTGGCTCACACCTGGTGGTAATCCCAACGCTTTGGGAGGTGGAGGTGGGAGGATCATGAGCCCAGGACTTTGAGGCCAGCCTAGACAACATGGTGAGACTCCATCTCTACGAAAAAATTAAAAATTAGCTGGGTGTGGTTGCACGTGCCTGTAGTCCCAGCTACTCAGGAGACTGAGGCGGAAGGAACCCTTGAGCCTGGGAGTTCAAGGTTACAGTGAGCTGTGATTGCACCACTGCACCCCAGCTTGGGCAACAGAGTGACATCCTGTTTCTAAAAAGAGATAATAATAGCAAACACACATTGAGTTCTAACCAGGCGCCAGGCACTATACTGAGGGTTTAAATGCAGCATCATGTCTGTTTCTCACAGTAACGCTACAAGGTAGGTGCTTGTGATTTCCACATTGTACAGATGAGGAAGCTGAAGCCGAGAGAGGTTCAGTAACATGCCGACGTCACGTGGTACTTGTAAAGGTCACAAATGCAGCCCCACAGTCTCACGGCAGAGCCTGCAGCGCTGCACCACACGGATGCCTGAGCCAAGTTCACTCCCTGACCGGAGAGCCACAGAGGCAGGACCGAAGGTCAGGGGACAGGGTTTCCTAGCATCTGCGAGCCTTTCAGAAAGGCAACTAACTGCAGCGCTCCAGCTGGCTTTCTCACGGAGATTGAGCAGAGACAGACCTCTCTCCGGTAGACACAGACCGTCTCTCCCCTCCCCCGTGTTGGTTTTACCCAGGCTTTGTTTTCTGAAAATGTGGCTGGGCCTGCTTAACATGCTTAGCAGGGCACTGGGAAATGCACTTCAGTGGCCGGTGCCAGCTAGCTTTTTGGAGTTTTAAAAAGACTTTCCGAAGTCTTATTTCTCCCCCACCGAGAGGAGGGAAAAGGGTTTTTATACAGTAACTCCTTTTGAGAGAAATGTGGAAACAGTGGGACCAGTGAAGTTCCTTCTGATAATAAAAAAGCGGTATCTGTGTCTGAAGCAGGAGGCTTGAGACGATTTTTATGGACAAAGCAAGAAATAACTGCATTCAGAAACAGGTGAAATTCCCAAAGATGATGAAAAGGACTACAGATGGGGAAATTGTGTGTGATTACATGAGTATCTCTTCCTGAAATGAGGGACACATTGATGGAGATTATTAAAGCCAACAGTAATTGGGCTCGCTTGCCGAGTGCTGGAAGTCAGTATTTCACAGATGAGGGTCTGTTTCTTGTGCATGTCAGGAAGGTTTACTTAGCCTGTTACCAGCAGAATTAGTCCAGCTGTAGCTCCGTTTTTCCTAAGCAGTGGGAAAGGGGCCGGAGAAGGGGAATTTTCTTAGAATTTAACGACACAATCTGAGGCTGAAACTCTGTGATTGGAAATGCGGTTTTGTACATGCTTGGTGTCCCTCTGATGTCAGCGTCTCCTGACTGTGTATAATCTAGCCCCGCTACCTCCTATTTTAAGGAATTCCTTCAGTCAGGGGTCAGCTGCTGTGCTGCTGCCTGGAAGCAGCTTATCTCAGAATGCTCTTTCTGTTTCAGGTCTCTGTTCTAGGATGTCCCGACCCAGTGGTGCATGAGATCGCCTATCAGTACGGAAAAAATGTAGGAATAGCTTTTCAGGTTGGTATGCTTTTTATTTGTAAGAATGGTGGCACAGTGATACAGTCAGCATTCTCCCCTAGTGTGGAATTGCCAAAATAGTAGGAACGATGGCAGCGATGTTGGCCTGGCGGTGCTCCTTACATCCCATTTTTCCTTTTGCCAGCTAATAGATGATGTGTTGGACTTCACCTCATGTTCTGACCAGATGGGCAAACCAACATCAGCTGATCTGAAGCTCGGGTTAGCCACTGGTCCTGTCCTGTTTGCCTGTCAGCAGGTAAGTGTTACGAACTCCCTTCGACACACCACTGATAGCCCCACAGAACTGATGTCCCGCGACACACCTGATGGGAAGGTTGCATAACGGAATCGATGGGAAGGCATTCAGGTAAGAGATCACAGGTCTGCCTTTGATCCTGGCTCTGAGTGAGATGTTAGGGCTGGTCATTTCACCTTGCTAAGCCTGTTTCCTTATCTGTAAAATTGAGAAGATCAGCTTTCTCCCAGGGGGGTTGTGAGGATTAGCTAAGATCCTATTTAAGATCTTTGTGTCTTGTGGTGTGCCAGAGGCATTTGAGGTAGCATCGTGATTATTTCCATATATTTTGGCCACTGGCAAAGTGAACGGTTTCCAAGTGTTGATTATAGGACTGGACTCTGGTGGTCCTCAGAGCCCCTTAAAAGGCACAGGAAGCATCAGGGGCCTCCAAGCATAAGAAATTCTCCAGTTTTAGAAGTTTAATGAGACTCTGCTGCTCTGAGAGAGGCCTTAGAACTTCGGCCATTGCCTCAAAATGTCAAGAAGTCAGTGGAGTGCAGTAGACCCACATAGTTCCTTCTTTCTCCGGATCGAGGGACTGAGAAGTGAGGAAGTCAGTACAGCTGCCCTCGTGTCCCCCTTAATGTGAATGAAAGGCTTAGGAGGCTTCAAAGATGTTCCCTCGACTGACAAAGCAGACATCCTCACGGCCTCCTCTAGACGCTGGCCACATGGCTTGTGGCTGTACTGAATGTTACTTGAAATAAGTGAGACATTAGTTGGTGTTGGAACATCTTGTTAATAGATTTTCATCTTAGTAGTATTTAATTTGGTATGTAGCAAAGCAATAAGATGTTCATCACCGTGCCATGAAATTCAACATTAGCTCTTTGGTCTGAAATTATAGTAACTTTTGGTCTTTCAGAGATTTTGCCTCATTCTGTCTTCACGTTTACAAAGGTCAATCATGTCCTCCATAGAATTCAGTGATTCCACTGTGATACAGAAACCATGACCCTTGCTTTTGGTGGATTTCTATTGGAGAGAGGAAAGATTATCTTTCACCCACTATCTAGCACAGCCATTGGCAGCGTGATTCTTCCCAGGGGAGGCTGATGTTCTGGGTGGCTGGGCCAGGCTACTTTGGCAGCTTGCTAGGGCTATGAATGGAGATGTCAGGGCACTTTGAAGGAACACCTGCCCTCATTATTACAAGGCTTCCATCCTCTCAGACTTTGGAGGCTGAGGTAAGAAGTGAAAGATATGCTATAAATAGGTCCTCTCTCCCAATGAGACTTACTTGCCAGCCCAAAATCAAGGAGCATCATACATGTGCCCAGTTTTGACAAAAATTTCTAAAAACCCCCTTTTGTACATTGAGGCATGAGTGAGGAACGTTTGAGCCGTGTAGATACTACGCCGGGGATTAGAAAAATGAGGCACTGGCTTCCACCTATACAACTGCGAACATTACTTCTCAGATGCTTGTTAGTAAACATGAGTGAAGGACAGTAAGATGGACTGAGTGTGCTGAAATCCAGCTAGCTTGGTAAAGATTCCTCTACCTAGGCTCTAAGATTGTCAGGATAGAAGGAAAAAGCCTCTCCCTGGAGAAGGCGCTGAAAACGTTTTGGTTGCTGTATTTGTAAAAATCTTCAAGTTGTTAAATACTTGTTATGAACCCCAGAATACTAAGTTATCGATTGAGTCCTTCTTAAACCTTAAGTTTCACTCTGAATATATTTCGAAAGAAACTAACTTACTTTCCCCTCCACACACAAAGGAGTAACGGCTAACTCTGCCTTCATATATAGTGGGGGACAGGGGAGATGGACCTCTTCTACATAGTATCTGTCAGTAATCTATAAGAGATTGAAAAATGCTGGTTAAGGCCGGGCGCGGTGGCTCATGCCTGTAATTCCAGCACTTTGGGAGGCCAAGGCAGGTGGATCACGAGGTCAGGAGTTCAACACCAGCCTGACCAATATGGTGAAACCCCGTCTCTACTAAAAATACAAAAGTTAGCCGGGCATGGTGGTGCACGCCTGTAATCCCAGCTACTCAGGAGGCCGAGGAAGGAGAATCATTTGAACCTGGGAGGCGGAGGTTGCAGTGAGCTGAGATCGCACCACTGCACTCTAGCCTGGGCGACAGAGTGAGACTCCATCTCAAAACAAAAAAAAAAAAAAGAGAAAGAAAGAAAAATGCTGGTTAAAAAACGCAAGCAAAAGGAAGAAAAAAGATTACTGTACCCCGAGCCATGGTTTTGTGTGTGCTTTACTGGGAAATCCCAGTCATGAGGCACCTACTCACAGTCACCAGACAGCAGTGTTCTCATCTGCCCATAAGGCAGTGAGTTTAAAAGGCACATTGCAGCCTCAGAAAAGGGAACACAGAATGGAGTCCAAGCAGGAAGTGACTCTGGACAGAACTCATTTCAAAAGTAGACTGATGTTTCTGTCTTGTGGCACATGGGCCAGACGTTAGCCAAATATGTATTTATAAGTTGCCTTCTAATAAAACAGCAAGGTTAGGCTCTTTTGTGGAATACACTGTCAAACAAGAGATTCTTAGCAAGAAATGTGTCAAAAGATTTTTGGGACTAAAATTCATTCTGGGTAAAAACAAGTTCCAAAAATAACGTTCAGAATGTGCAGTATCTCCACTTAATGAAAATGTGTTTTTAGTTTACAAAGGATTCTTTCATACATTATCTCTAATCTCACAACTCCTCTTTGTGGTAGATATCATGGTGCCTATTCTACAAGTAAGAAACTGATGCTCAAACCTCGCCAAAATTAAACATCTGGTAAATGGCACAGCAGGGAACTGAACAAGTCTAAGACCAGTATTCATTTTATTACATCATACACAGTGTTATTGCCACTGGTAATGCTGAGAAGTTAGTAGCTATGATACCAAACAGGCCTTCCCACAGAGCAGGTAACTAACCCACCCGGGCACTGATGATACTCAAAGAATCCTCTCTGTGCGATGTCTTTGTTATTATGAACAGCATACCTACTTAGTGGAGGAGTTCTAAGACGTCTGTAATCCTTTCCCTTTGGTAGGTGAGTTGTGTGTGCTGATGAGATGCTCTTTGAGCTTTTCCATTTGTGAACACTGGGCCAGGGCAAGCATTCTTGGGAAACCACCTTTTCCTTTTTAACTTGGTGTGGTGGGTTGTCTTGGAGTTTGCTCCACCCAGCACTTGACAGAAACCCCCTCTCTTTGGAGTTCCTTTATTTTTAACATCTCTCTTAAGGGGTTTCCTAGTAACAGTTGGTTCAGAGGATTTAAGAAGAGTTTTGGGGATTTCTGGAGAAGTCCCAGGGATGACAGCACCCTCCCATGTATGTATGTATATGTGTACATATTCTCTTTAAGAACAAAAACCTCAAGTTAATTGGATTTTGAAAGCTTCAGAAACAAAATGGAAGTGCTTTACTTTATCTGATGAAACTTCATCACTCTTCAAATATCTTTTTTAACAAAAACAAATCTTTCCTTTCTTCTGCTTCTCTTCCTTATTTGCTAAGTCACTAGACCCAAATGTCAGCTGTAGCCACGTTTCCAAATGCCATCACCAGCCCCTGCACCAGCTGCACAGGCCTTATGCTGTCGTGGTGACTAGTTGGTGCCTTAGAGTGACCCACGTTTTGCTTGGGAAAACTCATCTACTGATCACCTTGGCGGTTTAGTGTATGGATGGGTTTCACAGCGCTACAACCTGATTTACCCACAGGTGGTTTTCCTACTCTTAAAAACACCACCTGAGCAAACAGAACTTTTATTTGGCACTAAATCTGCAGGCAACTGTTCTTCCTGCTGTGTTTCTCTTTTCTTTTCCACATACACATGGAGGGGACTGGGGAGTGCCCGGGGAAGAGTTCGATGTTTTGCATATTATAATTGCACACATGACATGTTTGGAAGGAAGGATGTAGTCACTCAATGCAAATAATTTTTTCAAATTTTGCTTTCTCAGTGCTTTTCATAGTAAAAGCATCAGTGAAAACACCCAATCAGCACATCTTACTACACTTGCTGGTACTGTAGAAAAAGCTTATACATCATAAACACAGTAATGTCACCAGATGCCTACAAGAGGATCACATTAGTGTTAACGATAAAACCTTCTAGATATCCAGCAAGTATGTGGTATTAAAAAACGAAAACAGGCTATGTGTAGTGGCTCACACCCATAATCCCAGCACTCTGGGAGGCCCAGGTGAGAGGATCATGTGAAGCCAGGAGTTTGACACCAGCCCAGGCAACAAGGCAAGACCCCATCTCTATAAAAAATTGAAAAATTGGCCAGGCGCAGTGGCTCACGCCTGTAATCCCAGCACTTTGGGAGGCCGAGGTGGGCGGATCACAAGGTCAGGAGATCGAGACCATCCTGCCTAACATGGTGAAACCCCGTCTCTATTAAAAATACACAAAATTAGCAGGGTGTGGTGGCATGTGCCCCGTAGTCCCAGCTACTCGGGAGGCTGAGGCAGAAGAATCGTTTGAACCCGGGAGGCGGAGGTTGCGGTGAGTCAAGATTGTGCCACTGCACTCCAGCCTGGGCGACAGAGTGAGACTCCATCTCAAAAAAAATTTTTTTTTAAATTAAAAAAAATTAGCCAGCTGCATGCCTGTAGTCCCAGCTACTTGGAAGGCTGAGACAGGAGGATTACTTGAACCTATAGGAGTTTGAGGCTGCAGTGAGCTATGATTGCACCACTGCACTCCAGCCTGGGCAACAGAACAAGTCTCAAAACAAAACTAAAACCTACTTGATTTGGCTTTTTTACCACAGAAGTTGATTTGGGCTTCCCTGATTTCTTTCTAGTAGCTTGTTTTCTTCTTAAAACACCAGTAACTAAAGGAAATTACTGGTTTTCATAAGAACTAACCAGTTGCTGGCTCTATAAATTCTGTAAACACATTAGCAGTCTCTACATGTTTAGAGCTTTGTTCTGACACATATTTTGGTCTGAAAGAAACATTCTTTCTTCGTCTGTGATCACTCGGCTGAGGCTTTTCTATGTATGCCCTATTTTTTCTTCTAGGATTACTAATACCATGGTCATGGTTACAGGACAACAACTTTTTTCATCTTCAGGTTCACTGCCAGGGAAAAACTGGCAACTGCTATAAGCACTGACGTGGCCAAAACCAAACACATCTTACCTCTTCCGTGGAGCCGTAGACTGTTAGAGCTCAAGGGCTTCCGGTCATGAAGAGGAGAAGCCTAAGACCCCAGGGACTAAGGAAGTCACTCAGCTGTGGCAGTTGGTAGCCAAACCAAGACTAGAGCTCGGATCTAGGAAGTGAAGTGATTTGGTGTCCTGGCTTTTGTATTCTGTTAATGGTGACAGTTATAAATAGTTGCTAAGTATTGTAGAATATCGATTTTACCTTCAATTGGATTTTTACCTTTTTTTTTTCCCCTCTTCTTGCTATCAGATTAATTCAGGTCTTTTTTATAAACTACTCTAGTAACCTGTTTGTTCCGTCTACCTCTGACTCTCTTAGTTCCATGGTTCTCAACCTTGGCTGCACATTAAAAATATCAGAGTAGATGGGAAGGGGTTGAAAATCCTGGTGCCCAGACTAAGCACCAAGCCAATATAATCAAAATCTCTGGGAACAGGATCTAGGCAACTGTACCTCCCCAGGCAAGACGCAGTGGTTCACACCTGTAATCCCAGCACTTTGGGAGGCTGAGGTGGACAGATCACCTGAGGTCAGGAGTTCAAGACCAGCCTGGCCAATATGGCAAAACCCTGTCTCTACTAAAAATACAAAATTAGCCAGGTGTGGTGGCGCACATCTGTAGTCCCTGCTACTCAAGAGGCTGAGGCAGAGAATCGCTTGAACCAGGAAGGCGGAGTTTGCAGTGAGCTGAGATCGTGCCATTGCACTCCAGCCTGGGCGACACAGCGAAACTCCATCTCAGAAGAAAAAAAAAAACACAAAAACCTCCCCAGCTGATCCCAGTATGCAGTCAGTGTCATGCACCACTGCTCAGATCCACTGTACACACTGCTTAAGGCAGAGCTCTGTACGTAATGCTCTCTGCTCAGAAACCTCAATAGCTTTCAGTTGGTAATCAATTTAGTACTTAGAGTAGAATGCCTAATTCCCATCCTCATCCTAGGCCAGTGACTCGCAAAATGTTGGCAGAGACCAGAGATACTGGTGTCACCTGGGAATCTGTTAGAAATGCATGCCAAGGCTCCACCCCTACTCAATCAGAAACTGGGGGAGAGGCCCCACAAGCAGTACAGGCGATCCTGATACAATTTCAAGTTTACCAACCATGTTGTTTTTTATTTTTTTATTTGAGATGGAGTTTCACTCTTGTTGCCCAAGCTGGAGTGCAGTGGCGCAATCTCGGCTCACTGCAACCTCCGCCTCCAGGGTTCAAGCAATTCTCTTGCCTCAGCCTCCTGAGTAGCTGGGATTACAGGCGTGCACCACCACGCCCGGCTAATTTTTTTATATTTTTAGTAGAAACAGAGTTTCATCATGTTAGCCAGGCTGGTCTCAAACTCCTGACCTCAGGTGATCCGCCCACCTCGGCCTCCCAAAGTGCTGGGATTACAGGCGTGAGCCACCACACCCAGCCAGAACCATGATGTTGTTGAGAAGTACTTTATTCCTCCTGCCTCTCTTACTCAGTGTTGGACTAGGATAAAACATCAGAATAAACAAGGACTAGTGTCTCTCCTCCTCTACACCACCACAGTGCCTAGGCATAGACAGTGGATGCCTCTTAGCTCAGCTTTTGTTGCCACAGTTTATTGCTCCCCCACATCATTTAGACATTTAATTACATTTTTGTTGTTTCTTATTTCCTGTTGTTACAAACTAGTGTTAGAACACTTGTTTCCCCCAAGAGAAATAAACAGATTTTCTCTCTTTTTTCTTAGTTCCCAGAAATGAATGCTATGATCATGCGAAGGTTCAGTTTGCCGGGAGATGTAGACAGAGCTCGACAGTATGTGTTACAGGTAAGACTATTTTTAAAAGAAAGGCAGCAGCAGGAACAACGTGGCAAAGTCCTTTAATCCAAAAATGTAAACATTAAATTACAGATACAAGACTGTTTGGTCAACTCTTGATGTGACAAAAACTGAGAAGGGAAAACTCATTTTTCAGATTTTTTGTTTTCATTTCTCTTCTAGACTACTTAGGAAATACTTTGTTTTAACTGGTCTTGGGTAAGGCACAGATATTAATGTCTGGTAAAAGGTACCTAAGTGATTCTGGTGAACTGTTAGTGTTGAAGCAGAGTGGTGTGGAACCAGCCTTCCCTGTGTCCATCAGCAGAATCACTAGGCCCCCAGTCACCCAGCCTCAGCCCCAGCCTCATCCGTGTCCCCATCCGTGACCCCATGCGGGCTGCAGCTGCACTGCTGCAATGGGCTACTCCTAATTGGGCTTTCCTAGTCTGTCCTACCTGTTATAAAAGTGTGACTAAAGACATGATCATTGAAAACAATTAAACCAACATAGGCAAACTATACATTTATACAAACATTTTTCTTTTAAAGGGAGAACCATTTAACCCTGTTTAGGGGCTAGTGGCTTGTTTTAAATATATTGCCACATATCTTCAGAAGCTTTCTGTGGAAGCCACATCTCTTTGCATGACTTGAGTTTTGGTGACTGACTCTCTTGAGAATGAGCCATTTCCAAGCTCACCATCATTTGCAGCCAGCAGATCTCCTGGATGAGTCGGAGTGAGCAAAAACATTGTTACAAAGCAAGTGTGCCGTGAGATCCGTACTTAGTGTGGTACCTGAAAGACTTCCAAATAATTACCGTTCTGATTCTTAAAACATTTAAAAAGCAACCCCCAACGCCTAAAAGGTTATTTTTCTCTTTTAACTGACTATGCTGTTAAGCCTCATCATTCACTATGGGTTACTGGCTTTTTTGGAGAATGGTTTAAAAGTACTATTAAAAACTATGGGAGGGAGCTGGAGCTGATAAAAGTCAATATCCCTGGGAGAGGTTCTGGCTTCAGAAATAATGGTATTATTGAAAGCTGGAGTGGGAGGTGGAACTGAAAAGAGGGAAATTAATAGTAGCACCTATGGAAAATAGCAAAGTTCCAGCAATCCTAGCCAGAAACGCATTTAGGGAAAACAAAAATCCACGGGAATGTTCTCTGAACAAATTCTCCAAAATTCTAGCTCCCTGTTCACCCACATAGCTTCTAGTCCTATTCCCTCACTAAATGTGAATAGACAACTCAGGGTTACAAATGAGTTGACTAAAGCTTGCTGAACAAAAGAGTGGGACTAAAATAACGGGGGGGAAAGAAACTCAGGAAAAACATAAATAGGAGGATCCAAAAATATACCACATTCACAAAACAAGACAGGATCAGACTTTTTAAATGAGTAAGAGCAAGTTCTAAGAAACTGGAAATGACTGCAGAGCAAACTCCAAAGAACGTCTGCAATGTGAAATTGAGGAAATCCTCCCAAGTGTAAAACAGAAAGGGGGAAATAGTGAAAATAAGAAGAGCTACAAGGACCGGTGCCATCATGTAACAAGTATTTCGGGAAGAAAATTAAAAAGTGGTCACTTATGCAAGAAAAAGGTGTCAAAACTGGCTCAATGAATAGCAAAAATACTGGGTGCTAGAAGGCAGTGGAGGAAGGTCTTGCAAATAATGATTAAACATTTTAAACCTAAGATCCATTAAATCTGAAGGCAAAAGAAAGTCACCACACATCGGGACTAAAACACTGACTTCCCATAAATACTTTTTCTATTCTTCTGAGACGGAGTCTCGCTCTGTCGCCAGGCTGGAGTGCAGTGGTGCATCGCGGCTCACTGCAAGCTCCGCCTCCCGGGTTCAAGTGATTCTTCTGCCTCAGCCTCCTGAGTAGCTGGGAACACAGGCGCCCGCCACCATGCGCGGCTGATTTTTGTATTTTTAGTAGAGACGGGGGTTTCACCATGTTGGCCATTGTGGTCTCGATCTCATGACCTCGTGATCCGCCCAGCTCGGCCTCCCAAAATGCTGGGATCACAGGCGTGAGCACCACACCTGGCCTGCGTGAACACTTTCTGGGTAGGTTATTTGCAGATGTACTTCAGCAAAATGTGTGGAAAACACTGAGAGAAGGCAGGCTTCTGTACAAAAAGGAACAGCAAACTAAAATGTGTCATGTTTTGAGCAATTGGTATAGAAAATCAGATTTCTTTCAACCACAGTGTTAGGAATATTCTATTTCTAAATGTCAGAGGGGTCTGGGCGCACTGGCTCACGCCTGTAATCCCAGCACTTTGGGAGGCCGAGGCGGGTGGATCACTTGAGGTCAGGAGTTTGAGACCAGCCTGGCCAACATGGTGAAACCACGTCTCTACTAAAAATACAAACATTAGCCAGGCGTGGTGGCTCACGCCTGTAATCCTAGCTACTAAGGAGGCTGAGGCACGAGAATCCCTTGAGCCTGGGAGGCGGAGGTTGTGGTGAGCCAAGATCACACCACTTCACTCCAGCCTGGGCAACAGAGCAAGATTCTGTCTCAAAATAAATAAATAAATAAATAAATAAATAATAAATGTCAGAGGGATCATGAGCCATGGAGAAGGAAACAGAATTATAGTATATGACTTGATTCTGCAGTAAATATTTTTACATCATAGAAATGATACTTTATTAGTATTTGGCTTTTAGAAAGAACCAATATTTTAAAACATGGTTACAGAATAGAATGTAAATATCCATAGTCTAATAGTATAGTTAAAGGACAGGACAGGAGCTCATACAAGATAAAATCAGAAGTTGATGCTACCTAACAGAAGCAATCAACAAAACAACTAAAGACAGCAGTGTCATGATCAGGAGGCACAATATGGGAGGGCTAAATCCTCATCTTAATAAAAAGGTAACAGATAATAACTAAAACTGGCAATCAAGAAATAAAAACTAGGCTGGGCAAGGTGGCTCACACCTGTAATCCCAGCACTTTGGGAGGCCAAGGTGGGCAGATCACTTGAGGCCAGGAGTTTGAGACCAGCCTGGGCAACAAGAGCAAAACTCCATCTCAAAGAAAAAAAAAAAAAAAATACAAAAAAAAAAAAAAAAAATTAGCTGGGTGTGGTAGCTCATGCCTGTAATCCCAGCACTTTGGGAGGCCGAGGTGGGTGGATCACCTGAGGTCAGGAGTTCGAGACCAGCCTGACCAACATGGAGAAACCCTGTCTCTACTAAAAATACAAAAAAAAAATAGCCAGGAATGGTGGCACATGCCTGTAATCTCAGCTACTAGGGAAGCTGAGGCAGGAGAATTGCTTGAACCTAGGAGGCAGAGGTGGTAGTGAGCCGAGATCGTGCCATTGCACTTCAGCCTGGGCAACAAGAGCAAAACTCTGTCTCAAAAAAAAATACAAAAATTAGCTGGGTGTGGTGGCATGCGCCTGTAGTCCCAGCTACTTGGGAGGCTGAGGCAGGACAATTGCTTGAACCCGGGAGATAGAGGTTGCAGTGAGCTGAGATCACGCCGTGCACTCCAGTCCGGGTGACAGAGTGAGACCCTGTCTCAAAAAAAAAAACAGAAAAAGAAAAACTAATGGATAAAGTGAGTGCCTTTGGAAGAAAGGAACCTTTCTTCATAAACCCTCTGTACTTTCATTTTGTTATGTCTTTATTCTTTATAAGTTTTACTTGTGTTTTTTTTACATTTAAATGTATAACAATACTTTGTATGTAGAACTTTTGAGAAAGTCAAGTAAAAGGGGAAAATGGATGACCACGTAATATTGATGAGCTAGTTGTTTTGCATGCTAATAGAATAAAAATTTGCTTCAATATGAGAAAAAGGCCTAAAGGAAGTTAGCACTATGAGTCGGGAAAAGAACATTAGAGATGTAGTTTGACTGTTGAAACTGTAACCCTCAGCTCATCTGATCTCAAAACTATGTGTTCATTTATTATAGCAGGAAGTTAAAATGCTGATTCAGTCAGTGACAGGCATCTGCTCTGTTTTGTTCTGTATCTCGTAGAGTGATGGTGTGCAACAAACAACCTACCTCGCCCAGCAGTACTGCCATGAAGCAATAAGAGAGATCAGTAAACTCCGACCATCCCCAGAAAGAGATGCCCTCATTCAACTTTCAGAAATTGTCCTCACAAGAGATAAATGACAACTCTTTCTGTTCTTTCTGGCAGCTATCTTACCAGACTGTGCCTAAAGAATTTTGTGGAATACACTTTGTTTGCTTCATGTGCAGATAACCAAAAATCATTTTAAAAGATATCAAACTTATTGATGGGCAATTTATTTTTTTTATTGCAAAAGTTTTTTCAGAAAACTTTTTAAATGTAATTAAACCATCTGAATCTGTCATTCTAGTCCTATAAATTATAATCGAGGTATCTTGATGGTTATATGTGGTATTGTTTACACTGTTAATATCCACATGTAAGGCCATTACACAAATAAATAATCGATGTTAAAATTCAAATGGTTTGTCTTGATTTACTGTGGGAGTAAAGATGAGAAAAATGTGAAGTCTGCATTGAAGTCCACATTAGTTATATTTTAACAGTATCCAAAGTTTCATATAGGAGAATGGTTTATTATAAAAGACTGTACATAAAATTTAGACAACAGGTTATATACAAATTAAGAGAACAATCCACTTCAAAAATGGAAAGTAGAAGGTAGCTAGCTGATCACTAATGATACTTTGTTTAAAATTAACAAAGGCAAAATGCGTATGAAATAGTCACATTGATTTGGTAGCAGTAATGGTCTTTAATTTTCAGAAATAACTGTTTTGCACTAGTCTTACCATTCACTATGGTGTTACAAGTCTGTAACGTCCAGTACATAACTGTAATTTGAATTCCAAACAAATCCTCAATAACACAGAAACCCACACTTGAGTGCTCTACTTTAATATCCTAAGCAATATAGAATTATACACAAGAAGAGAAAACATCCCTCAGCCCTCCCTTAAATTAAGAGGAGACACACAAAGTGCATGTGTTGCATTTTGATTATGTCAAAAGACAATACAAGTCTGTTCATTAGGTAAATCTCTGTTCACTGATTAATACATGACCCACCTTCTTTCCCAATTATTTTATTTTAAAATTCTAATGTTGCTAGTGCCAGGTAATGGATTAAATAGTGCCTATTCACAAATCAACTGTATCTACTTTTACAATATGTAAAAGGTACTTTTAACTTCCTTTCATTGAACCAGTGTACAACAGTCCACTGCAAAACTGAAGGACATGGCAATCCTTACGAATTTTACTTACAGAATGAATGCACACAATTTGACACATTTTCTTAGCTTCAAAAGATTCTTTAAAAAAGGAATTCAGTAGATTGACTTGTAAATAACCATTGCAGATTTTGAATCTGCAAAAACCCGTCACATTGCTGTTGGGACAGATTAAGATAAGGCTAAAATTTTTTTCCAAGTTAACATATTGAGAAAATAGAACCATAATTCTGCAATAAATCATTATCTTTTATTTTTTTTTTAAAGCAAACCAGTGAAGGAAAGGACAAAAACCTTTGGTTCACTTATGTATTTATGAATGGAAAAAATTTATAATGCAAATTTCACTCATTAAAAAACTTAGGTACAAATTACAACATTACAGATAATTCTCTTTTTGCTTCTTTTGTTTCACATGGAGACCCTTGGAGACTCAATTCATGTTAAGACACCTAAGTATGAGTCCTCCAGGTAAATATTACACAAATGGGAAGCATCTTGGAATTTTTAAGTATATTTCAATACATAAATTTTTATGCATGCTTTAAACAAACAGTATTTTTTTAAATGAGAGAATCTAACAAAAAAAGTCTGACCAGCACCAGCATTTAAATTTTCTGATTTTAATATTAGTCTGACATAGCGTTAGTAATCATGCTGCACTGAAACATGTAATGGTACAATCTGAATAATGATTTGTTAAATATTATACCCCACTTCCCCCAGAATATTTAGGCTGGTCATAAAGTTAAAAATGTGTAAGTAAGTACATAAGCATAATCAGTTATGGACAGCTTCTTGTATAAATTGCTATTTAGCAATACACAAACTGCCTCAAAGATTTATGCTTACAGGTAGACATTCAATTTACCAATAAAACAGCATGTTCTGAAAATATGGGCACATTTTAAAACATATTAAGACAGTTCTGTTAACCATAATTGTCCCACAGTATGACTGAGTAATAAGAATCTACTTTAAAAGCAAAAAAAAAAAAAAAAAAAATTAATCAGTATAGTGCATGATTGATTCAACATAGTTCCCAGGGAACAGACCAGTCACTCGATTGCAGACTCCTTCATACCAGCCATCATCATTCTTCTTTATAACATAAATGATTGCACCCTCCATAAATGACAGCTCATCATCCTTGTCTTTTGTATAATCATATATTGCAACAACTATGGAAAAAAGAGTTGAAATATCACATGAATGCACTATATCCAACATTTACTTGAATTTTAAGACAAAGCCAATTAAATATATAGCACAGCAAAACCATTTTTATGAAGATTTCTTAATTTTTGTATCTATCAATATAAGTAGGTCAGTGCCAACCATGTACTTATATCATTGGCTTAATCTAACCATGTACTTAACCATGTACTTATATCATTGGCTTAATTAAGAGTCAAATGACAATCTGATTAGACTGAACAGGTCAATAGGTTCTGTCAATCACTTTAAGAAAGCTCTCTGAACTTCAGAATTTATTAGATGTTTCAATTCATTCAAATACCAAGTGCCTATCATATACAAAGCACCGCTTTTCGAAATAATTATCAGGCAAAGCTGCATAGCCATTCAGTAAACCAGGTAACAACCCAAGCTATCTAATTTGAAAATACACAGTCACTGGAAGGTAAATCACATCCTACTCATTCAAGGACCCATGCTAATTTAAGGTACTGTTCCCAGATTTTTTAAAAAGAATATTTACTTACTTCAAAGGATTTTAATTAATATTTAGAGAACGTGGCAATTCTGTGGTGTCTGTAATTCTTTTCAGTTCAAGATACAGGTTGAGTAACCCTCATCTGAAATGCCTGGGATCAGAACTGCTTTGGATTTGGGTTTTTTTTTCCAGACTTTGGAATTTTACATATAGGTAATGAGATACTATCTTGGAGATGGGATCCAAGTCTAAACACAAAACTCATTTTTGTTTCACATACACCTTACACACATAGCCTGAAGGTAATTTTATTTTTCCCTTGGGAACACTGAATAAACTGTGTCATGTGCCTGCGTTCTGACTGTGACCCATCACATGAGGTCAGGTGTGGAATTTTCCACTTGCGGCATCATGTTGGAACTCATTGTGGATTTTGAAGCATTTTGAATTTGGGACTTTCAGATAGGGATGCTCAGCCTATATTCACTTCCTTTGCAAACTGCTGTGGAAAGCAATCTAAAGTGTATCATGGCCCATGGACAAATCCAAACCACTGCATTTTTTGTAAATAAAGTTTTATTGCAATATGGCCACATCTACTTACTCATGTACTATGTCCTCTTTTACGCTACAACAGTAGGACTGAGTAGTTGTGACAGAGACTGTATAGCCAGCAAAGTTTAAAATATTTACCATCTGGCTTTATACCAAACAAAGTATGCTCACCCCTAGTTCTTGGGAAGATACTTTTTAATCCTCTACTATCAAGTATATTACCCGATATGTCATTCCAAATTTGTCAACTTCTATAAATATGGTCCCAAATTTTCATAATTAAATTTGCTTTACCAAGAAAGAAAATATGGGTAAAAACACAATTCAAGGCCACTCAAGTTTATCATCCTCATAAGTAACAACAGCTCTCTATTTGAAGGTATATGGGAATCTAAAGTAGAATATTTAAGACTTTCTTAACAATATGTAAATTATTTACCGTTTAAAAATATAAGGCCAGGAGTGGTGGCTCACACCAGTAATCCCACAACTGGGAGGCTGAGATGGGTGGATCACTTGAGGTCAGGAGTTCAAGACCAGGCTGGCCAACATGGCAAAACCCCGTCTCTACTAAAAATATAAAAGTTAGCTGGGCGTGGTGGCGGGCACCTGTAATCCCAGCTATTTAAGAGGCTGAGGCAGGAGAATTGCTTGAACCCGGGAGGCAGAAGTTGCAGTGAGCCAAGATCGCACCACTGCACTCCACACTGGGAGACAGAACAAGACTCCACCTCAAAAAATAAAAAAATATAAAAGGAAAACAAATTTACTTTTGCCACATATCCAAAACTTGGGCAGGAAAGAATGCTGCTGGTCTCAAGAGCTACAGCTACTTGCTTAAAGACTGTTAACCCAATAAAGTCAATAGAAGGAAATCTATCAAAGGCAACCAAAAGTGTTAAACTAAATTACAAGCATTTTTCAGAACTCTATAGAAATACAGATTTGATTTTATTTTTAATTGATTCCCATTTCTGCAAAAAGAAATACAGATTTTAAAATAGCACAGAACTAGATGAAAAAATAAAAACTAGAAACAGGATTTGTTTCTTCCCCACCTATATTTCTTAATAGATAATTACAGTGAATATTGGGTACTGTAGGTAAATTACGACTTTATAGTAGTTCATAGTTTCATGAAATATAATCCTGGTAATTTGTCTTCTCTTTTATAAAATCACCTGACGCCTTAATTGAGGCTTTTCTCATGATAGTACTAATAAATTTTTAAAGACAGATGCTCCTCCACTTCCATATGATGGGGTTATGTCCCAATAAACCCACTGTTTAGTGGAAAATATTGTAAATTGAAAGTACGTTTTCAACCTATAACTTACATTTTTTACTTATAACAGGTTTATCCAGACAAAGCTACATCATAAGTTGAGAAGCATACTGAATGCATATCATTTTTGTACCATCATAAAGTTGAAAAGATCCTAAACTGAACCATTGTAATTCAGGGACCATCTATATTTAGATATGAAAGGTCATCAACAGAGCTTGACAGAACTTTTAAAATCTTTACTAATTACATATAACTCCATTTTTGTGCCTTAGCTGTTTCATCTACAAAATGCCATCCAGCAAGTTAATCTTCAGCTGAACACATATGTAGTTTGAAAGCAAATCTAACACTGCAATTTTAATTTAAAATACAAAGAAAGAATCACCCTGTACACTGGGAATAATACAAAGCTTAGGAAGTAAGGTTTAAGTAAATCATCTTGGCTGGTAAGGCAGTTTAAAAGGCTGAGAAACATTGGACTAGATGTTCTTTATAGTCCTAAATTTCTACAATTAGGTTATATTCCTTCACATCAATTCAATTATTGTACCTTACCTTTCTCAATATAATTCTTGGGGGCCCAAGCAGGATCCCCATCTGCATATGGATCATTATACTGAACTACTGCAGCCTCCTCATCTTCATAATCCACTGGAGGTGGTGGTGGGGGAGGTGGAGAGTCATCAAACATGGGAATGTCATCTGGTGGAG